TTATTCTGAACAAATTTTCCAAAGACATTCTCGACGAATATTCTAAAAACGTTCTTCTTTGTTATGAATATACGATTTCTAATTAATAATAATCTATATTTATAAAATATTCGATTGGAATATGCTGAAATTAAGAATATTTTCACTCCAGAAGAATATTCATAGCACCATGTGTGCTATCTGGGTTTGGGCATTAGGCCTTGCCGGGGGATTATAAAGATAAAATAAGATGAAACAATATAAATAAGATAAAATAAAATAATAAGATAAAGTAATGCCCAGTGGGCATTAGTGGGCATATTGATGTACAAAATTTTGGTCAGCGGTTTCCCCCTCAACATAAATTAAGCTGAATAGTTCAAATTTCTCGGCGACTAGGCACTTCCGCAACTCCACGTTTATAATTTCGATTGCATTTAGATAGTATTGTGTACAGTAATGGACAGAATGATTGCGACACTTTTTTTTAAGGAGTTTAGGATTCAGAATTATTTTTTCCAAAATATCTTTTTCTCCGAGGAATATTTTACTCGACGGCCATTCCGCAACCATTTTAAACTTTTTCAATAATATAATCATAAAAATAACAAACAACAAAGTACAACACGGTTATTGTTACAAGTGAGTTTTATAATCAACTATACTTGAATTATGATTACAATTTGTAAAAACAAATTGACGATAACAATGGACGTTTTGATATATTCGAGTCATCCTCGGCACAATAAATATTCAAAGATCAATCCTCATTATTTATTCTCTCACAATCAGTGTCTTTGATTTTCGTTGATTTTTACTTATTGATAAAATGATCCCGTCGTTTGTTATAGGCAAAATGTCGTGTAGGACTAGAAAGCGAAAAGAGGATGAAGAGCGGAAAGCAAACGATGGGGAACAGGATAATTTCTTTACCGACGAGATGAGGGAGGAAATGAAAGCAATGTGGGAGGTAATTAAGATTGCTCATGATTTTAACGGATCCTCGGTCGTGTAAAAAAAATATCACTCGTGACACTCTTTCAGATACCGCAAATCTTCCATTTCCTCCACTTAACGAAGGAATCTCTTAATATACCTCAGTTGTCTTTGTACGAAATGGAGAGGATGCTGTTGATACCGAGGGCCTCTAAACAACTAGCAAACATCATGACTTGTATGCTGAGGTACGTGAAATGCAACA